CCAACTTTAAGTGTTGTAAATTTAAAAACGATCGGATAAGTTTTTCAAGAGTTATCGTGAGAACAAAATTTTTGATCTACAGACAGACAGACAGACACCATCGCCGGACCATGTTTTTTGGGTTCATGGGACCCCAAAACGTCGAGATTTCATGAAATTAGCGAAAGTCAATTTTCGACCAAAACTAATACTTTCTCATATGATGAGAATGTAATAAAAATTACTTTTTTTGAAAATAAATCGAAAAGTATAGGGTTTATCAAAATGGTGTCTACAGCAAAGTTGTAGCAGAGGAAGAGACGAGAAAAAAAGTCTCTAGTAGCACGATTCCATATGGAATAGATTCGGAGATAATTGAGTCGGAATATCGATTTTTTGCCAAAAAGAATAATAAAATATATATATATATATATACAGTGGTTTTTCGAGAAATTAAGAGTTCTTTGTCTATAAATATGTTTTTTGGGTGTATTTGGGTGAGATTATGTTAAAATAGTTGAAGTTACTTTTAATTCATAGAAAATATTTTGATTTTTAGAGTTACTTTGGGACTTTTTAGTTATCGATTTTTTGCAAAAAAAAAATAATAAAATATATATATATATATACAGTGGTTTTTTGAGAAATTAAGAGTTCTATGTCTATAAATATGTTTTTTAGGTGTATTTGGGTGAGATTATGTAAAAATAGTTAAAATTACTTTTAATTCATAGAAAATATTTTGATTTTTAGAGTTACTTTGGGACTTTTTAGTATTTTTGACCATTTAAGATCCTATAACTCCGAAATTTGACTTTTTATGAAAAAATGTTGTAGAAAAAATTGTTTGTATTTTCCTAAGCTATCGTAATATGTAAATAAAAATTTGAAAATTTAAAAAAAATGATTTTTTAAAATTTTGAAAGTACTGTAGTTTTTGTATTTTTTAACGAAAATGGCTGGTTAACGAACTTGGCCTTCATTTTTGCACCAACTTTAAGTGTGTTAAATTTAAAAACTATCGGATAAGTTTTTTAAGAGTTATCGTAAGAACAAAATTTTTGATCTACAGACAGGCAGACAGACAGACAGACAGACACCGTCGCCGGACCATGTTTTTTGGGTTCATGGGACCCCAAAACGTCAAGATTTCATGAAATTAGCAAAAGTCAATTTTCGACCAAAACTAATACTTTCTCATATGATGAGAATGTAATAAAAATTGCTTTTTTTGAAAATTAATCAAAAAATTATAGGATTTAGCGAAATTGTGTCTACAGCAAAGTTGTAGCAGAGGATGAGACGAGAAAAAAAGTCTTTAGTAGCAAGATTCCATATTGAATAGATTCGGAGATAATTGAGTCGGAATATCGATTTTTTGCCAAAAAAAATAATAAAATATATATATATATATATATACACAGTATTTTTCGAGAAATTAAGAGTTCTATGTCTATAAATATGTTTTTTAGGTGTATTTGGGTGAGATTATGTAAAAATAGTTGAAGTTACTTTTAATTCATAGAAAATATTTTGATTTTTAGAGTTACTTTGGGACTTTTTAGTTTTTTTGACCATTTAAGATCCTATAACTCCGAAATTTGACTTTTTATGAAAAAATGTTGTAGAGAAAAGTTGTTTGTATTTTCCTAAGCTATCGTAATATGTAAATAAAAATTTGAAAATTTAAAAAAAATGATTTTTTAAAATTTTGAAAGTACTGTAGTTTTTGCATTTTTTTACGAAAATGGCTGGTTAACGAACTTGGCCTTCATTTTTGCACCAACTTTAAGTGTGTTAAATTTAAAAACTATCGGATAAGTTTGTTAAGAGTTATCGTGGGAACAAAATTTTTAATCTACAGACAGACAGACAGACAGACAGACAGACAGACAGACAGACAGACAGACAGACAGACAGACAGACAGACAGACGAACAGACAGACACCATCGCCGGACCATGTTTTTTGGGTTCATGGGACCCCAAAACTTCAAGATTTCATGAAATTAGCGAAAGGCATTTTTCGACCAAAACTAATACTTTCTCATATGATGAGAATGTAATAAAAATTACTTTTTTTGAAAATAAATCGAAAAGTATAGGGTTTATCAAAATGGTGTCTACAGCAAACTTGTAGCAGAAGATGAGGCGAGAAAAAAAGTCTCTAGTAGCAAGATTCCATATCGAATAGATTCGGAGATAATTGAGTCAGAATATCGATTTTTTGCAAAAAAAAATAATAAAATATATATATATACAGTGGTTTTTCGAGAAATTAAGAGTTCTATGTCTATAAGTATGTTTTTTGGGTGTATTTGGTGAGATTATGTAAAAATAGTTGAAGTTACTTTTAATTCTTTGAAAATATTTTGATTTTTAGAGTTATTTTGGGATTTTTTAGTTTTTTTGACCATTTAAGATCCTATAACTCCGAAATTTGACTTTTTATGAAAAAATGTTGTAGAGAAAAGTTGTTTGTATTTTCCTAAGCTATCGTAATATGCAAATAAAAATTTGAAAATTTAAAAAATTGATTTTTTAAAATTTTGAAAGTACTGTAGTTTTTGTATTTTTTAACGAAAATGGCTGGTTAACGAACTTGGCCTTCATTTTTGCACCAACTTTAAGTGTGTTAAATTTAAAAACGATCGGATAAGTTTTTCAAGAGTTATCGTGGGAACAAAATTTTTGATCTACAGACAGACAGACAGACAGACAGACAGACGAACAGACAGACACCATCGCCGGACCATGTTTTTTGGGTTCATGGGACCCCAAAACGTCGAGATTTTATGAAATTAGCGAAAGTCAATTTTCGACCAAAACTAATACTTTCTCATATGATGAGAATGTAAAAATAAAAAATTCATTTGAACTAGAATCAGAGGTTTAACCAATTTTCTTCAGACGACCACAAATTTCTTGGTCAATATGCTTCGTTTTCCGTATTCGCACCATTTTGTATATCAACCTAAAAAGAACAATTAAACACTTCTTTAAAATTTTCAATGTTATTAACAGGATTTTACTGTGCCGTATTATCTCTAACTATCCTTGCCCCGTGAGTCCATATTTCAGTTTCTTCTAAATTTTATGGAATAATGTGAATTAATTTGAAAAGAAATACTATATTCGTGTTTAGCAGGAAATTCCACTCCGGAAAACACTTACGTAAATAAATATTCTGAAACTTTTTTTAAAAATAAATTCCTAACTTCGCAAATAATGAGTTTGTCTTCCAATTTTTAATATCATCTTTTGGTGTTAAGACGGGAATATAGTATGAATTACGCGATTTTTGAGCAAGCCGTCTAAGCATAACGGCAACTAACTATCCTTGCCCCATCCTCCCCTACTTTTTGCAGATTTTTGAAAAATGGAGTTTTTCCAAAAAACTCAATCCCGCGGGACTAGAATGCGGGATAACTCTGAATCCTGCGGGATCCCGCAAAATCCCCCATAATATTATGTTATTAGCTATATTCTAATTTTTTAATAATTATTAGATAAAATTTTATTAAAACGTTTTATTTATTCAGTTAAATACATTGTTACAATGACTTAGATCCAATTTGAAATCTAAATTTTTATTTAAAAATTTTTTTAAACTATTAAAATCCTATTTTCGAAGAAATTCTTATATAAGTTTGGCTATGTCTATAAATAATTTTTTTATTATTGCACAACCTCACTTGTTAAACTAAGTTTGAATGTAAATTAAGTATTTTTAAATTAACGTAAATTTTTCCATTAAATGGAAGTTTCTAATTTTCATTTTGAAAATAAGATCTTAAGAAACAAAGAGTATCGATGGTATTATCTGCTAAACTACTTCTAAGTTTATTACAGAGATATTCTGCGGCAGAAAGTGCTCGTTCAGATTCCACACTAGTTGGTGTAATAGTCATTAACCCTTTGAAGCATACATTTTTCTAGTCAAGGAATTTAAAAATCAAGTACACTTTAGGGGGTTTTCAGGTACACAAATTAAAAATCTGAAGTCGGATTTTTCATATTTTCAAAATTCAAAATGGCGAATCCAATATGGCGGACGACTTTTTCGAAAATTGATCAAATTCACTTGATAATTGTTACTCGGGGGTTTTTGGGGTCGCTGATTACCAATATGAAGTCAGATTTTCAAAATTCAAAATGGCGGATCCAGTATGGCGGACTTATTTTTTAAAATTAATCAAATTCACTTGAAAGTTCTTAGTCTCCTGACGCCTGACCCATTTTGGGGTCGCTAATTACAAATCTAAAGTCAGATATTTAAAATTAACAATAGCGGATCCAATATATGGCGTAAATTTGTTTACATTGATCAAATTCACTTAAAACTTTTTACTCGGGAGTTTTTGGGGTCGCTGATTACAAATCTAAAGTCAGATTTTTAAAATTCACAAAGGCGGATCCAACATGGCGTAAATTTTTTGAAATAATGATGGACAAATATGAAGTCAGACTTTCGAAATCCGAAATTTATTAATATATAAATACATATAATATAAAATACATATTGGGAATTTCTCTGTAAAACGGACATTCCCTGACTTTTCCCTGACCGTTAGAAATCCCGCGGGATTCCTCTCCTTTTTTATAAGTATGTTGGATTCAATAAATAGTGTGGGATCACGCGGGATTGCCGGATCCCGCTATTAGGGATTGCGAGCTCTAACTACGGTAACTCGTAGCGCGCTCCGTTCATCACTAGCACAGCGAGGACGTCGAACTTTGCTCTAAAAACTTTTTCAGCTTATTTTTGAATATTTTAACTAACGATTTATGCAGAAAAATAAATTTTTTCAGCCGTCTAATGTGGTGCCCCCTTTAAGTCAGCTTTGATGTTATTATGGCAGATATACCACTTTTTTCTGGTTGTGTAATTAAAGCTATTGAATAATAATCCATAGGAATAAAAAAGGGTTTTCAAAATGCAGTATTATATGATCTCTTTTTAAATTCATTTTAATTCAGATGAAATTTTCAGATTAAAAATTATAAAAGCTTTTTTACTTACGTGAAAAGAATGTGTAAAATATCTCCAATTAATCCATTCTCATGTATTGGCTTTTCCGCAAATTCACAAATTAAACGTAATAGACATGCTTTTCCAGGAAATCCAACACTAAAAAATATATGTATTATTAAAATATATTAATACTAGATATAAAACTTTCTCTATAACAACTATAACAACTTTCTCAGGTATATTATAAAACAACACTCTATAACAACTATAACAACTTTCTCAGGTATATTATAAAACAACACTTTTCAGCTATAATGTAAAAAACATTTCCAATATCTTTTTAATTTTTTATAAATGTAGGAAATATGCTATAAATAATTATATTTTGTGTTTTGGGGTTTAGGCCAGAAAATCCAAATTTTCCATTAAAATATTTTTAAGACAATTTTTAGTTAGTAAACATATTTATTATTAATATAATTGTCTCGACGTTTCGATGGTAGCCACCATCCTTTTCAAGAGAAAACATTCTAAAAAATTACATTTAATTATAAAAATTATAAGTTATTAATTACAAAAATTATAAATTACAATAATTGAAAGAAATTTTCTTTCTATAACAGAAACGTGAGAATTCATACGTGGTAAAGCATGTTTAATTTGTTTTAGGAGTTGAGAACAGTGTTGCCAATGCTCCCGATTTATCGGGAGATTGTCCGATTTTTAGCTCTATCTCCTGATATCCTGATTTAACTACAAAAACTTTCGATTATTCTTAAAAGTACTCCGATTTATCCGATTTTTATAACTTTCTCCATTCCAAGTATATTCAGAAACGTCCATAGTTTTGATTGGTTATGCTCATGGAGAATTTCCAAAAAGCTAATGTTTTGGAAATTCTCCATGAGCATATAGCCAATCAAAACTCAGCATGCACATACGCATGAGTGTGACTAACCTTTACTCTAGCCCCTTTAAATTTTCTTAGAATGAAGTAAAAATATGGCAAATACGCGACATGTCAAAAAAATTCAAAAGAAAAATTATACTATCATGATTGTGAGCAAATTAAATATCATTCTTTGATAACGTTCGGTAAGTACATGACTATTTTTTTGAAGAATATTAATTTCTTATTAGGTTTATTGAATTTCTCTACAAAGTTTAAATTTAGAGGTTAGGTTATGTAGTTTCACAATACAGTATTTATTAATTTATTATAAATTATTAAAAAAATAAACACAAATTTTCTAAAAAAACCTACAAAATAAAAATAGTGTTTCTATAATTTATTTAATATTCTTAAAATTAATAGAATGGAGCCTGTAAATAAAATGGACTGTTGTAAACCAAAAATTTCACTGAAATTAATTAATTTAACTGAAAATTTCACTAAACATAGTGTACTGTGATATTTGTAAATTGTAAGCATCAATATTTTTTTTATAATTTATACACATAACATATGTTTTAAATTTATATTTTCTAATACTAAATTATATTATATATTTTCAGATAGTGACTGTTTAGAAGTTCAGTGTGACTGTTTAGAAAGGATATATATTTAATGTATGTATAATTATGACATCAAAAAAAATTCCATCCAACTTCAAACAATAAATACTGACTTCCAATCTTCATTATAAAGAACCTATTTAAAGTTTCGGCTATTGGCATCAAAATAAAAGCACAAAAATAGTTTGATATAATAAAAAAAATTTCTTCAGGCAACGATCACTCATTACAAAACGTGTAAAATGGGGAGTAAACGACCTCATTCTTCAACTTTTCAAAATATTGAAAAAACAGAAGGTGAATTAGATTCTGATTTAGAAATAGACGACAGTATAATTAATCATAAAGAAAGTAACGGGAAAAACAACGAAGAAAAACCAATCAAGAAAAAGAGAAAATATTCTCAAAAATTAAAGCCAATAATTTTAACTGAATATACGTGGGCAACGGAAAGTAAAAAAGGCGTTTCTTTCGCTTATTGCAAAGCATGTAAAATTGATTTCAGCATACCTAGTGGTAAAGTTGAACTTAATAAGCATTTATCTACTAAAAGACACGTATCTTCTGCTGCTTCTATTTCTCAAAATCAGTCAACATTATTTAATTTTCCTTTATTAAAGAAAGAAACAGCCTTAATGGACTCAGTTGCTTCAGCCGAAATTCGTCAAGCTTTATTTATTGCTGAACACAATATATCAATTAAATTAGCCGATCATTTACCTGAATTTATTTTTCAATGTTTCCCGACTCAGAAATAGCATATAGAAAAGCGTATAGCATGTGCTAGAACAAAGACTACTGCTATAATTCAAGCAGTCACTGGTAGATTTCAAGAAGAAAATATTTCTAAAGTACTGAAGAATCAAAAATTTTCATTAATGGTAGATGAAGTGACAGATGACACCGTGAAGAAACACTTAGCAATGATTATTCGTGTTCGCATTGACAATAAAATTAATGATATATTCTATGATATGATTAAAGTCAAAAAAGGCAATGCTGTGAATCTTCATAAAATTATTATTGAAGCTTTTCAAAAAATAAATGTACCTTATATTCAAAACATGATTGGTTTTGCAGCTGACTCAGCCAGCGTCATGATGGGCCAGCACAACTCAATTGCAGCATTATTCAAAAAAGAAATTGAAAATTTATTTGTCATGAAATGTATTTGTCACTCATTTAATAGTTGCGCCAATTCAGCGTGTAAAAAATTACCTGACACAGTAGAAAATCTTGCCCGAGATGTTTATAATCATTTTAAGATGAGTCCTAATAGAAAAGCAAATTTAAAAGAATTTCAATCGTTCGTTGAAATTGATCATCTTAAAATTTTGGCTTTGTATAGTATAAGTTGATTGTCGCTGGAAAATGTAGTTTCACGTTTAATTGAACAATTACCAGCATTGCAATTATATTTTACAGAAGCAGCATTTGCAGTTAAAAACGTTTCGAGAGAAAAGTGTGCCCGAATTTTAGAAATTATTTGCGACGAGTCTACGTCATTGTATTTATATTTTTTGCAATGGGTTTTACCATATTTTAATACGCTTAATAAACTTATGCAATCAGAAAGGCCACAAATTCACGTAATTAGCGATAAAGTCAAATCTACTTGTTTGTAACGAAAGAGTCTTTAATTTCTATCGCAAAGTAAAATCATTTCGTGTAAGCATGTATTTGGTATATCTATATATGTCGTAGGCAAATAGAAAAATCCGGCATTTAGCTTAATGCCGGCAACTACATTAATGAATCGTGAAAAATAGTTATTTTTCTATTTGCCTGAAATCAATTAGTCATTTAGCTTATTAACTAGGCGTTAAGGAAATTGCCTAAGTAGCACCCGGCAAATAGAAAAATTAGAATATATGTGCATGTGTCACTCAACAGAAATATTTAAAAAAAAATATGTCAAAAGTAATTAACACAAATATTTTATTATCAATAATAATTATATTTTTTATTTATTTATTGCGGCAAACCGCACTTAGAATTTTTTAAAATTGACTTTACATTTTCTAATTAATTTTCACTCCACATATATACTTACTTCGATTACTACAACTTTTAATAACTTCTTTACATTTTTTTTCGAATATAACTCTATCAACACAGGACATTTTGATAAAATACAACTGTTAGTTGACAAAATCGAAGAGAGATTAACTACGATTTCCAATATTATAATATTGAAAATCGTAGTTAGTCTCTCTTCGATTTTGTACAATATAAATACAATATAAATTACAATATAAATTTAATCATCAGTTTTCGAAAGTATATATTTCAAATTTTCAATTAAAAACAATAATACTGATTTTCAAACAAACACTCGAATCTATCCCACAATTAATATTGCATTATATTGGAAATCAAAACGTCTAAGTAATTTTATTTTGTGAATTATATTTTTCATTTCATTTTAATCATTTTACTAAATATTTCATTATTATTATTATTATTATTATTATTATTATTATTGATGATAAAATATTTGTGTTAATTGATTTAGACATATTCTTTTTTTAATATTTCTTTTGAGTGACACATGCACATATTCTCATTTTTCTATTTGCCGGGTGCTACTTAGGCAATTTCCTTAAGGGGTTACATGGGTCAAAACGACCTGAAAACGTGTTTTTTTAATAATTTTTTTTTCATAAAATAAATAAATTTTTTTATTTGAACACTTTGGTATCTGAAAGTACACTATTAAATGAGAAAGATATTAAATTTTTGATAAAAAATATTAAAAATCATGGAAGGGTTCTCAAAGATCCTGTAGGTACGGCCCTGATTTTAAATATTTTTTAACGAAATTTTTACAAGTTACTCTTTTAATAGTGTAGGGGAATGTAGTCAAGGTTGGTCTACTGTCTAGGTAGGCCATCGCGATTTTTTGGACAAGTTCACTAGCGCCACCTTCGCGCAGGCTTGTCGAAGCTTGTTTTAGTGTAACCTAACTTTTTGTTCCATTACATTTTCGGAGAATCGAAAGTAGTGTTTTCTGTGACGTCGGTACAAAAAAAGCTGAAAAAAAGTTTTGTGCATCATGTGAAAAACCATTAATAAAAGATAAAAAACAAATTGAATCGTCAAGGCAAGTATGCAGAAAATTTGTGGGACTCATGGTTGAAAGAAAAACAAAGTAAAAAATCGAATCCCGAAACGTATTTCTTTATGGTTACAACAATTCGGTAATGTTACTTACTGTCAAGGTCGGCCACTATGTGTTTAAAATGCGCAAAGATGAGGACGAGCTACTTCATTTGCAAAAACTGCAATTCTGTATAACTCATAATATAATTGATCATCTTATTAATATTTTTATTTAATTTTATTAATATTTCAGTGCAAAATTTTTTTTTATTTATTTTTATTTTTTTATATTGTTTATTGTTATTATTTTGTTATTTCATTAAGTTACAAGCTGTAAACAATAAAGAATCAATTTTCCGTAACTCTAAACATGTTATTTTATTTTTTAACGATTAATGCCCTTTGAATTTTAAACATGGCCGACCTTGACTGTAATGGCCAACCTGGACTACAAATTTTTTTTTTAAATCTTTATAACTTTTTCATTTTTAAATCTGTCAATTTACTTTGTACAGAAAAAATGTTCCTATTAAACAGGA